GTCTCTATGTGTTGCAGAACAGTGACCAGGTTCGAGTAAACTCCCGGAACCATTCTAGTTCAGGCACAGGGACTATCACTCCTTGGTGCAGAGGACCACCCTGTACAGGCTCAAAGACCCAGTGACAGAAGGTAACAACTGGAGGATAGGAAAAATTACCAGTCATAACCAAATGCAACCAGTTTGTGGCCCCACCTGGTGACCCCAACCCTAGTAATGGGTGGGGACAAATCTCCATGCTGAAGAGGACTGGTCAGTGGGCTTGGTGGATATTTTGGTCCAGGAGCCCTCAGCCCAGGAGCGATAAGTAGACCAAGCTACCACTAGGTCTGGTGGAGGTTGCCCCACAGGCCCGACCACCCCAGGGAGTACCTGCATTTCAGCCTGGGAAGGAAGGGAGGGGACATGTCTATGTACCAATCCAGTGAATATGTAGGTAAGGCTCGCATGATAGATCCACCTCACCACCGAAGTGGGGGGCTGTCGACCAGGGTTGCGCTGTGAGGCGCACATCAGGAGCCCAGTCATATGTGCCCCTGCGAGATGTTTAATTCGCTGGCCTTCCACTGTCTATCCATTAGATGTGGCCAACCCAGCGTTTGGCTAAAGGCCCATGGTCAGGCTCACTGGCCAGGCTGGGGTGACACCAGGACCTATATTATTGCCCAGCTGTTGATTGAGAATCTCCATAGGAAAATCCCAGGCAGTTACAGCAAACAGCTATTTCTTTTTGGTAGAAAGGTTTTATATATAAGAATAAAAGTTAACCATTGTAAGCACCCTTATCAGTAGTAAATGGTTTGTCTTAACCCTCTAACTGCTATTTTGTTTTGCAAGCTTGGTCGGTTAAAGAAGAAAAAAAAAAAAAAAAAAACAGCCAATGCAATGGTGAGCTGCAATTTAAGTTTGTTTTAGGTTTAATGCCACGTTAATGTCAAATGATATTTTGTGCTTTTAGGAATGCATCCAACTCTTTTTGAAAACAGTCTACTGAGCTGACCAGAGCTAGTTGCTAAGGAAGTCTATTCCACATTTTCACAGCGGTTAAGGTGAAGAAGTCTTTCTGCATGTGGAGGTAAAATATTTTTGTCCAGAGATAAAGAGTGCTTCAGTGTCCTTTCAAATGATCTTAACCGCTTCCCTGCCGCCCTATAGCAGAACTACTGCTATAGGGAGGCAGGGCTGTGCAAAATCACACACACATATCTATACATATACATATATATATATATATATATATATATATATATATATACATATACATATATACACACACACACACACACACACACACACACACACATACGCGTGATTTACATTTCCGGGTAGGGAATGTACATGCACAGCAAAGAAAAATACAAAACAGCAGGTCTCCAAGGTAAAACAGCACACACAGTAAAACACACACACAGCACACAATTAACCCTTTGACCGCCCAAAAGTTAACCCTTCCTGCCCAGTGCCATTAGGACAGTGTCAGTGCTTTTTATTAGCACTAATCACTGTAATAGTGTCACTGGGGATGTCAGTGGCAGCTAGTCAGTTCCCACCCAGCAGTCCTTGCTGATCGCCATTACTAGTATAAAAGTAAAACAAAAATTACAGTATATATACTGCTATTTGTAGACGCTATAACTTTCACGTAAACCAATTAATTTACGTGTATTGGGATTTTTTTTTTTTGACAAAGACATGTAGCAGTATACATTTTGACCTAAATTTATTTTTTACTGGACATGTTTAATAGCAAAAAGTAAAAAATATTCGTTTTTTTTTTTCAAAATGGTCGGCCTTTTTTTGTTTTATAGTGCAAAAAATGCAAAGCGCAGAGGTGAGCAAACACCACCAAAAGAAAGCTCTATTTGTGGGGAAAAGAAAAGGACATAAATTTCATTTATGTACAGCGTTGCATGACCATGCAATTGTCAGTTAAAGTAACACAGTGCAGTATTGTAAAAAAAATGGCCTGGTCAGGAAGAGGAGCAAATCATTTGGAGAGAAAGCGTTAAAGTGAATACCTCTGCACCAAGTTTGTTATATGGACCTCATGTATTTTATGAGGTGATCTTTTACCCCTTATATATTTTATTTCCAATGCTATTTTCTGGAATTTACTATCCTCCCGCCATATAAATATTCAATCAAAATAATGGAAAAAGATATTTAGTGAGACATTGTATTAACAACTTCCATTTTTATAGTCTCGCCGCAATTCACTGTAAAGCAGTTGTACAGTGTGTCTTAAAGTGACTGTGCCATCCAAAAACCACACAGGATTTGTGCACTCTATAATCTAACATACAAAATCAGACACACTTTCTTACTGTGCACTACAAGGCGTCGCTCTTACTCAGCAATTTCAGCACAGAAAACTGGAAGGACAGGGAGTACATTTATTTACACTAAGAAAAAAAAATGTATTTAAAAAGGCATTTCTGAGCAAAAACCAGTTAAACCATAACATACAGTATGTCAGTACAGCATTCACAAAATATAAATCTATAGAGTCTGCTGTTTCCAAAGCTTAATAGATGAAGTTAAACTGTACACAACAGCTAAAAAAAAATCAGGAGTATTTGTATAACCTCCCATTTACTTATATACACAATCTCCATACAAAAAAACAAAACAAAAAAAACTTTCATTTAAAAACGAGACAATCTGACAGGAAACAGCTGACTTGTTTTTAGAAAACCCATACTGCTCTGCATACTTAGGTCATGGGTGCCCCATGTAATAAGTGCTTATTTGAAAAGAAATATATTATATACATCATATATAATCAAAGAAATGAATGGCTTCCAACATTAAAATGTAAGGAAAATATCAGCGACTTACCAAACAGCCATCCAAGAGGCTGGCAGCAAGGGAAGTTGATGGTGTACTCTGCTGTGGATGGCAGAATAAAATAATGTTGACATGAACTTTTTTTTTTTTTTTTCCTACAGTGCATTTGTACTAAACAACAAAAGATGTAAACACAGAAAGATTTATTACAGTAGCATATACAGTGGGGATCGAAAGTTTGGGCACCCCAGCTAAAAATTTGTATTAATGTGCATAAAGAAGCCAAGGAAAGATGGAAAAATCTCCAAAAGGCATCAAATTACAGATTAGACATTCTTATAATATGTCAACAAAAGTTAGATTTTATTTCCATCATTTACACTTTCAAAATAACAGAAAACAAAAAAATGGCGTCTGCAAAAGTTTGGGCACCCTGCAGAGTTAATATCTTGTACTGCCCCCTTTGGCAAGTATCACAGCTTGTAAGCGCTTTTTGTAGCCAGCCAAGAGTCTTTCAATTCTTGTTTGAGGTATCTTTGCCCATTCTTCCTTACAAAAGTCTTCCAGTTCTTTGAGATTTCTGGGCTGTCTGTCACGCACTGCTCTTTTAAGGTCTATCCATAGATTTTCAATTATGTTGAGGTCAGGAGATTGTGAAGGCCATGGCAAAACCTTCAGTTTACGCCTCTTGATGTAATCCCCCGTGGATTTCGAGGTGTGTTTTAGGATCATTATCCAATTGTAGAAGCCATCCTCTCTTTAACTTCAGCTTTTTCACAGATAGCATCAAGTTACCATCCAAAATTTGCTGAAATGTTATTGAATCCATTTTTCCTTCTACTCGTGAGATGTTCCCTGTGCCACTGGCTGCAACACAACCCCAAAGCATGATTGATCCAACCCCATGCTTAACAGTTGGACAGAGGTTCTTTTCATTAAATTCTGTGCCCCTTCTCCTCCAAACATAGCTTTGCTCATTGCGGCCAAAAAGTTAAATTTTAACCTCATCGGTCCACAGCACTTGTTTCCAAAATGCATCAGGCTTGTCTATATGTTCATTTGCAAAGTTCAAACAATGATTTTTGTGGTGAGGACGTAGAAGAGGTTTTCTTCTGATGACTCTTCCATGAAGACCATATTTGTACAAGTATCTCTTTATAGTGGAATAGTGTACCACAACTCCAGTGTCTGCCAGATCTTTCTGGAGGGATCGTGCAGTCAAACGGGGGTTTTGAATTGTTTTTCTCACAATCCTGCGAGCTGTTGTGTCTGATATTTTTCTTGGTCTTCCAGATCTTGCTTTAACTTCCACTGTTCCTGATGACTGCCATTTCTTCATTACATTCCGAACAGAGGATATTGACATCTGAAAACGCTTTGCTATCTTCTTATAGCCTTCTCCAGCTTTGTGAGCGTCAACTATTTTCAGTTTCAGTTTTCTAGACAACTGCTTAGAAGAACCCATGGTGCTGATTGTTGGGGCAAGGTCAGATGAGTCTGGGCATTTAAAACCTTTGAGATTGACATCACCTGGTCTTCCCAGACGATGATTGAGAACAATCCATGACACTGGCAAGTCTCAGCTTTGCAAAGGGGGCAGTGAATGCTATAAATTCTGCAGGGTGCCCAAACTTTTGCAGACGCCATTTTTTTGTTTTCTGTTATTTTGAAAGTTTAAATGATGGAAATAAAATCTAACTTTTGTTGACATATTATAAGAATGTCTAATCTGTAATTTGATGCCTTTTGGAGATTTTGCCATCTTTCCTTGGCTTCTTTATGCACATTAATACACATTTTTAGCTGGGGTGCCCAAACTTTCGATCCCCACTGTATATATGCCTGGCCACTGAGGCTGCTTACAATCTTTACCACCCCCAACCGCCCACCGAACCGATTTTAAATGGAATAGATGATCAAAAATTAAAAGGCAACAAAAATGGGCTTTTAAATCCTGGTTTCGAGAATCATGCAAGATGTTACTTTCGGTCATCTGAGGGCTTGAGTTACGGCATTGTCTGCATGTAATAAAGGTTTCTATTTATTTTACAGCCCATTTAAATTAAGGCAATATTTTGCGCTCTGCTGTACCAAATAAATTACAAAAGAATGAGCAATATAGATAATATATATATGTAAAATACAGTTAATTCAAAATAACCAACAGCCTCCTTGATCAAGAGAAGTTATTATTGGCATTTCTTTCCCCTTCCCCCATAAGAAGAGAGGCAGAAAAAAAAATTACTGACTTACTGTTTCATATACAAAGCCAATAGTATTAATTCTCACTGTTCCATATATTCCAAGTGTATCAATTTTATCCAGGTTAATCCTGTGTTTGTAAGAAAGCAAGAATTTTCCATTTGACGAAACCTAAAAAACACATTCAGGAACATTTTAAATTTGAAAACATTAAAACTACAAAATGAATAAACATATTCAATGAAAGGTCTACAATTCAAAATTACAAAACCTGCTTAAAAGACAAACCAATCCATCCATTTTAAACTTTGTTTTTGTCTGTATGTTCTTTTTAGAACAATAATAATAAAAAAAAAAACTTTTTTTTTAAACTTAAAAAGACAAACCAACAAAACATACATATAATAGCAAAAGAGACGTGTTGCTGTATTTGTCAAGATTAGAAAAAATACCTGAATAAAATCATTGATCTTATTTCTCACATTTATTTAGTCACAGCAGATCAAGCGGCATATTTCTTACCATAAAGCTTTGCATCAGTCTGACCCAGTGTAGTGTCTTCAAACATAGAACAACACACAGTCTAAGGCTAGGTTCACACTGCTGCAATCTGATTTTCAGTACGATTATCAAGTACAACTTGGATGTGGTCTGAAGAGACTATGGGCCAAAATCATGCTGGAATTGCACCAAAGTAGGACAGGAACCATTTCCAAAACTGTGCAGTTCTGAGTTGCACTGGTGTGAATGGGCACCATGGAAAACAATGTGATTTCCATTGTCATGGAATTCTGTGCGAAATTCACACTAAAGTGAATAGAGCTTAAGCAACAGTATGTATGCAATGCACAAGGAGTAATGATCATGGTGAGAATTGAATAATACCAACAAAAGTGTCTGTTGCCTAATAGGGTACTTCACACTACTTTCACTGCAACAGTCCAGGCTGATTGTTAGAACTGAGCACATCCCCATCAGTCTAATTATTAAAAGAGGTGTGCTGAACCAAACAGAACCCTTCCCTCTTTAAAATATTTTGAATATACAACAGAGTAATGATATAAACTCACCTGGAATTTGTGAGGTAAAACAAGAAAAATTACTTCAAATGGCTTTCCCGGTGCGATAGGCATGGGGTATGTCTTTTCTTCCCAGCCCCATGTTTGATTCTCTAAGGTATTACAGATGATCTGGCCCCAGTACCAGCCTTTAAACCGTGGGTTGAAATGGAAAGCCACATCACTACGTGGGCTTGTGCTGCTCCCACACTGGAAGTCTATCTGGAACCTGTCAACATGAATTTTAAAAGCAGAATTACAATGTTAAAGGGTATCTATGGTCAACACTTAAAATCATATATTCATTTTAATGTTGTATTTCAATTATACCAAAGCTTATTAATCTGAACGATCGTGAATTTTGTAAACTTATTTACTTACTTGAATTCTGTAACACAAATTAATTATGCCCTTTGAGTAGTCACTGCTGTATCACATATCTTAATGCCCTTTCACACCAGTGCGATTTGTGAATTGAAATCGCACCTGAAATCACATCTAATGAATGTTAATATCAGTAGCTTAACATGTGTGATTTGCTGCAGCACGATTGCTAAAGTAGTTCTTGCATTACTTTTCCTGCAGTTTTGTTGCGATTTCACATACTGTACATAGAACATGATGGAAATCGCACAGCAAATGGAAAGAAATTGTAGCACAAAAAAGTCTTCAGAAATCACACCTGATTTGCACACAAATCACATATGTTTAAATCGCAGCGGCGTGACCAGTGACTTACAGAGGCTGTCTTCTGAACTACTTAAGTGCTGAGAGGAGGACTTTCATGAGGCAGAGTCAGTACAGAAATTACAGCTTGCAAGCAGCAACATACCATCACATATAGATTTTAAAACAAATTGTAGTGAGCGCTCTTGTATAAATGCAGCAGCTAGAACACTCCAGGTAACCACAATACCTTTAGAATATGTATATAAATGTAAATAATAAAAGTGCAGCACTCAAAATGGACTAAAGGCAGTAAAAAGTCAATGCAATATCCGCGGTGCTCTCTGGAATGATGAGAACTTCCAGAGCTTTACTGCTTCAAATAATAGCAATGCGCACTCACCAGAAACGCATGGATTATTGCACATGTAGGAATAATCATCCCAGATGTCAGATCCATCAAAGACCAGGTGGTGGGCATCCCTCTCACGGTGGGTCATCAAGGACTCCAAATCAGGTCCAGAGGTCCCCTTAAGGTCAGCTAGCGATTTCTTTGTGTGAGGAGAGGAGGTGAGCGAAGGTCAGATGATCGGAGGAACGAGAGAAGGTGCCTATACCATCCAGAGGAGGGATCATTACCATCAGTATGGATTACCTGACTGACCTTAAGGGGACCTCTGGACCTGATTTGGAGTCCTTGATGACCCACCGTGAGAGGGATGCCCACCACCTGGTCTTTGATGGATCTGACATCTGGGATTATTCCTACATGCGCATAATCCATGCGTTTCTAGTGAGTGTGCATTGCTATTATTTGAAGCAGTAAAGCTCTGGAAGTTCTCATCATTCCAGAGAGCACCGCGGATACCATCACATATAAGTCATTAGTTACTGAAAGTAAACAGCAGAGGAGACGCTGCAAAACATGCAGTGAATTCAGGAAGTTGTGAAAAGAGATCGCTAGCAGACAGAAAGCAATCAAAACAAAAAAGGGGGATTTTCCAAGTAAGCTCATATTGGAAAGTCAAAAATAACTGCTTTGTATTGCTAATAAAATGGTGATGTTATAAAAGGGTTTGCCATTACCACAGATTTCCTTTAACGTACATGAAGTATTTCACTACAATTATAACCAAAATACTAGATTACTTTCACTTTGTTAATTTAAGAATACCCAATTTAAAAAAAAAAAAAAAAAATACATAAGAGTACATTAAAATGTACCATGAAACAAAATATCCTTGAAACTAGAACCTAAAAGACCCAAAGTACTCTTTGTCTTTGCAACTGAAGGTTGTTGTGTGGGATATATAAATATGTGATGTTTTGCATCCTGATTACAATTATAAGTGATATATTCCTGTAATGACTGGATCAGGTGTACTTCCAGCAGACCATCACAACTGAAAAATGAAAGAAGGGGTTACTACAGGAGTCATCAGCCTGCAGGACATGGAATAAGCTTTATTATGGGTATCCCTGGTGATTCCCCCCCCCCCCCCCCAAAAAAAAAATATATTTTTTTTTCTTTATTTTACAAAACATCAGCTTTAACCATTTCAATACCGTGCAATTTTACACCTTCCTGCCCAGGCCATTTTTCACATTTCAGCGCTCTCACACTTTGAATGACAATTGCGCGGTCATACAACTTTGTACCCAAACTAAAATTTTATCATTTTCTTCACACAACTAGAGCTTTCTTTTGGTGGTATTTAATCACCACTGGGGTTTTTATTTTTTGCTAAATTAACAAAAAAAGACCAAAAATTTTGAAAAAAATAAAAACATGTTTTTCTTTCCGTTATAAAAATTTACAAATAAATAATTGTTCTTCATAAATTTAGGCCGAGATGTATTCTGCTACATGTCTTTGGTGAAAATAACCCAAATTAGGATGTATTATTTAGTTTGTAGGAAAGTTATAGAGTTCACAAACTATGGGATATATCTGAAAATTGATCAATCCTGAAGTACTGACGGCCAATCTAATTTCTTGAGGTCCAAGAATGTCAGAACAGTACAGATATCCCCAAATGACCCCTTTTTGCAGAGTAGACAGTCCGACGTACTTCATAAGAGGCATGGCGAGTTTTTTGAAGTTGCATTTTTTTTGTCATAATTTTTCGGAAAATGAAAAAATAAAAAAAAGTATTTTCACTATTTTTTTTTTTTACATACTGTCACCAGTGCAGTACAGCGTCATCATATAACTGGCATGGTGGTGAACAGGGACACTGACTGGTGACAGTATGAAAAAAAAAAAAAAAAAAAAAAAAAAAAAAAAAAAAAATAATATATATATATATATATATATATATATATATATATATATATATATATTATTTTTTTTTTTTAATTATTATTTTTTATTACATTTTTTTTTTAAGATTTTTTTTTTCATATTGTACTATGACCAAAGTAGTACAATGTTACCATAGTAACATTTGTACTACTTTGGGGGAAGTGATCAGTATTTTTTTTTTTTTTTTTTTACACAATTTGCTTATAGCAAAGAATTACTTTGCTATAAGCAAGCATTTACCTGAATGAAATCGATTCATCAGGTTTTTTTTTTTTTTTTTGTGCTTAGCAGTGATTTGGTCACAGCTAATCACATGACATGTGCATGTGATTAGCTGTGACCATTCACAGCTAGGCACTAGTATACAAATGGATGGCATGAATGAAGCCATCCATTGTATACAACTGTCATGTGACCTGCTGTGATTGGTCACAGCAGGTCACATGGTACCAGCAACGGGGGCCGGTACTCAGATCTGTCATCGGCCGTGTCCGAGGTACACGGCCGGTGACAGATCGCGCCGCTGCGCGGCTCTGCATTAGCGCAAACTGCGCATGTGCGGGAGCACGGAAAATGGCGTGCACCCGGAATGCCGAAGCACTTTTGAAGCCGCCAAACGGCCATTGGCCGGGCGGCTAATGGTTAAAAAGGGTAACTCCACTTTCGTGGGGAAAAAAACAGCAAATTAAAAAGTATATTACAGTATACACAATTGCAACACAAATCATATTGTAATTTAATATTATTAAAAATTACCTTTCCTTTTCAATCTGCAGTGCTGTAATTTTATGTAAAATGCAGTTTAATATGGCTGCCTGGAGGCCTGCTGTACACAGATGGTGTACAGATTGCCCCTCAAATGTAATTTCCTGCTTGTGTGATTGGCTGATTATCCCAGAAGTTTACACTATAAGTCAGATTTTTGGCATCTCCTGTAACAAAATTTTATTTATGTTGAGATACTCCCAAAGGGAAATCATGTCTAAAGTGATGCACACCCTGCAATTTTCCTTATTAGAGCCCTGCAGGTGCAACAGCTAACTGAAAATTATGAAAGCACTCACATACAGATTCACTTTGCACATGGACACAGATAAACAGCTATTTCTTCAGAATAACAAGAGGTAGAACTCTGCAACAAAGCTTGTTAAAAGCCTTGCAATGTACAACAATGAATTAAAAGTGGAATTTTTTTTGTCAACAAAAGTGGAGTTACTCTTTCAATTTCAGTTCTGATGGTCTGCTGAAAATTTCTCATCTCTTCTCTTGCTTGGGTCCACTATTTATACACATGCATAGCGGCCTTTGGTTATGAAGCTGGACTGTAGAATTAGCACATAAGAAACATTTTATCTGCATGCCCTTCAAGGGATAATATTAAAAAAAAAAAAGATCTTGCTCACAATCCATAAGTAAGCTGCAAGTATAAAATTAATAAAAATGTTAACTGATAAATAAAAGTATGTTGCCCTAATATAATCATCTCTGTGCTGAATTGTGTGCAAATCGCAAGTGCTATTTGTCATACATGTTCACCATCTTCTTGTGATAATCAATACCACACATGCCATAAACAGGTGAAGACATGAAAATGTATGCGTGTTAAACAATAATAAATGATAAAAAGAAAAAAAATTATAAAAAGGCAAAAAAAAAAAAAGTGTCCATAAATAAATCCTTTAAAAACTCCTGTAAATAATGAAGAACTTTCACAAGTGAAAAACGCTTCCGCTTTGTGTTCAGGTACAACACCTCTATCACCAAAATGAGGAAGGTGTAGCAGGTACCCAGCAGAAAAGACAGAGGAAAGCAGGGAGTCAGGGTTAGAATGAAGGGTACCGGGGGCCCTGCGTGGATAAACTGCCACCCCTAATAGGGCTGAGCCAGAGCTAGCAAGTCAATCTGATCTTTTATCCTTGCACTTGTGAAATACTGTCCCCAGAGGGGTACTTTGCCATGCTTGTAAGATATCATCCACACAGGAAGAATGTCATCATCCACACAGGAAGAATGTCTCAATGCCAGTCACATATAGACTGCAGTATCCCAGTTAACATGGTAACAACTGCTATGCTATGTCCGCAGTAGACAGTTAGGAGATGCTGCCGGTCAATGTCCTACCTGGAAGTACGAAGAAGCAGAGAGTGCAACTGCAAAAACCCCAATGAAAATGAGGTGGTGCAGGTACAGTATGCACTTTGAGCCGCTCTGAAAGATGCGTGCAGGTAGAGTAGGGCCGATATTGGTACATTGTTAGA